CTGGCTCCAGCTGCATCCTTTTTTTCCTCCAATTCCCTTTCAGCACACACGGCTTGTGTGTCCCTTGGTGCTGTATTCCTTCCTTTGCCCATTCCTTCTTCATCAGGTCTCCTCTTCCTGGAAATTTCACTGGGTTTCTTCCTTTCTCCTTAACTCCCTTATCCGCTGTTTATTCCAACTCTTCTCCAAAAACCTCTTTCCTGTCCCCCATTCATTTCCAGGTAGTTTCAAGCACCTACTAAATGCCAAGCACTGAGTTCTTCACCTGTCTTCTCTCAAGGGCCCCATCTCACCTCACCTGGCCCTCCAGCTCTCTACCGGTTCTCTTTGACCTTTGCTCTCCCCACCCCTTCCCGCATTAGCTCCCAGCATCCCGGCTCCGTCTTCCAGACGCCTCTCTGGTCTTTAAAGAGAAGGGATACTTACTTTCAGGCCCTCTCCCTGCCCCTGTCCTCCCATGCTCTTTATTTAACCTCAGTACTTTTTCTTTTCTAGTTCCTTCCTATCCGTCTCCCTAGTCACTGAGGCGGTGTGAGACAGCCTCCCTCCCCAACACAGAGTCTGGGTGCATCTTTTCTTCCAATGAAAACTGGGTATTAGGGTTGCTTTAAAAAAAAAAATGAGAAAGAATGCTAGATTACTCTGGGGTGAGCATGCCTCCTTAATTTTGTAGCCATGTATCTGTTCCCTCTCCAGCCCTCGATCTCCTCTTTCCCATACTTCCACATCCCTTTACCAGGATCATCCATCACTCCTCTCCTGGTTTCCACCTCTCTGTAACTTTTTTCCTGAACCTTGACAGGCCTCCGGTACTTTAACCTCCCCCGCCCTCCTCTAGGGAACTCCCAACTTCTCACCATGCCTCACTTGAGTCACGTGGGACCTTTTATCTGGGTGTTGCTGTACTGCCCTCAGCCTGTGTCTGTCCCCGCTGCCAGACACACCTTCGCCCTGCTTGAATTTACTCTCCCTGAGGTAGAGGATGCAAAGAACACTGGGAGTGGGAAGGCTGTTACCTAGTTCTGCTCCTTGGGCCACAGTGAGGGTCACTGACTGTAGAAAAGACCCAAACTCGTACAATATGCCCCCAAGCTCTGAAGCACCTTGCCCAAGTGCCAGGGGTCCAACCCTGGAGGAAGACCCCAGTTCTGCGGGACACATTATAGGACGGAAGGGGCGGGCCTAACCTCATTCCGCCTCGGGTCGCCCGAAAAGGGGCGTGCCTTGCCCCCTCGGTACCCACTCACAAAGAGGGTTTAAAACCTGCTTTTAAGGTTTAAAACGGGAGCCGAGGTTAACTCTGTCATACTGTGTCACATTAAAAAGGTGTGGGCCTTTAGTTCTGTTCTGCAAATCACCTAAGGAGGAGCGGGCTGAGTCCTCCAGCCGAGGGAGATGGGCTAACACCAGCTCCGCAAATATGTGTTCGCACAATCCAAACGTCGGGCTGATCCCAGTTCTGCTCCCTTCTTCACTAAAAGGGAGCGGCGAAGCCAAGCTCTGCTCTCTACGTCACCGAAGGAGGCCGGAGCCATTTTGAACCCTGAGACCCTAGCACTTGCTCTCTTGCCGAGCTCTTCGCCGTCTTTTCCGATCTCGGCCAATCAGAGGTGAAAGAAACGGCCCAATCAGCCTGGAGAGACCACAGCCAGAGGCCCCGGATGAGGCCGAGCCAAAGTCTTTGAACCTCAAACCCCGCCAATCGTAGAGCAGTCACCATGGCGACAAGCTAGAGGTGAAGGGGTGGGACCAGAGAAGGCTTAACCTTCACAGGATTGGCCCACCTCTTCCCGCCGCCTGCAGCTCATGCGCACTTTCCTTAACCACCATTTTCCATCGAGTTCCAGCCAATCAAGGGCTTTGGAGCCCTAAGCTCCAAAGTCCAATAGGAATCCGGACATTCTCTGAAAGGGGAAGTGAAGGAAAGAAAGGGGACTTGTAGTAGGCGAGGCCTGTGTAGTCCCGAACCAATTGCTTATGGCCTTTGCTTATGATTGGCAGTTACTCAGACGAATAAAGCTCCCCCGGGTCGGGCGACCGGACGTATCGAGTTGTTACCAATCCCGTCGCATTGCATACTGACTGAGACTGTATCAGCCAATAATCATTGTGCAAGGGCGGGACTGCGCGAACCTCACTCCTACCTTTGGACCAATCCTTTCTTTTGAACTGTGTGATTGGCGGGCACTCAGGCCAATAGTGCCTAGAAAACTTTGAAGCCCGCCCAAAGATCGTGGGCCGGAGGCGGTTTCTTGTTGGGGCGTGTGTGTGTTTTTGAGGGGATTAAGGGGTACGTAAAGGCGAAACAGAACAGTCCATGGCGGCAGCGGAGGAGGAGGACGGGGGCCCCGAAGGGCCAAACCGCGAGCGGGGCGGGGCGGGCGCGACCTTCGAATGTAATATATGTCTGGAGACTGCTCGCGAAGCTGTGGTCAGTGTGTGTGGCCACCTGTACTGGTGAGAATCCGGGAGTGGGAGAAAAGTGGGGCTCACCTCCATACTAGGGAGGCATACAATCATACAGATAATAGAGGTCACGTCCCCATAGGTGAGGCCCGAGAAGGGGACTCAATGTCTCTTTGAGTATGTGTGGGCAAGAGAGTCACGTCTGTACAGAGGAGACCCATAGAACGGAGAGTCATTGGAACTAGGAGCTGAGAGGTATGGTGTGTTAAGAAGTGGGGCCGGACCGGGGGTAGGGCGGGGACAGCACATCTGTACCGGCGAGACCCGAGCTACCTTACCCCAGAAAGTGAGGGGTCTTAGCTGTACAGGTTAGACTCAAAGGTTAGGGGTGGCACACGTTGCTTGAGTAGGTTGAGACCTAGGGATGTGGAATCCCATTCAGATGAGATATTGGTAAGCAGTGGTATGACAACCTGAGGACAAGGGCACTGAAGGAGCAACCCTGAGAAGTTAAAGGTTTGTGGAAATAGGGACTTTATTGAGCCTAGAAGAGAGGAAAAGGAGTAGTGGAAGAAGGTGCTAGTAAAAGGGGGTCTGGTTTGGGAGTGATAAGGCCAAGGACAGGGCTGGGACTGAAAGAGGAGATCTGGAAAGCTGTGGTTGAAAAGAACTGGAAACTAAGTCGAAAGGCAGAGAAGGGAGGAGATGGGTGTGTGTGTGTGTGTGTGTGTGTGTGTGTGTGTGTGTGTGTGTCTTTGTGTGTTTGGGGAGAGGAAAAGGTTGAGCATGTTGAGGATGGATATAGCTTTAGATGTTGTAAGATCAGAGAAGAAGGAAGGCCAGATTGGCATGGTAGAGGTTGCAGAAAATGGGAAAAGAAGCAGGTAGTACCTGGGAGAGGGGGTGAGATGGGACTCTATGAGGTTGGATCCTTTGTCTCTTTTCTGTAGCTGGTTTGACCTTCTTTTTTTTCCCCCCCATCCAGTTGGCCCTGTCTTCATCAGGTGCGTACTCAGAGGAGATGAAGAGGGAAATGGGGAGGTCTGAGGAGTTCAAAGACCCTGCTGTGTACTGGAAACCACTTCATTTTCTCCCCCAGTGGCTGGAAACACGGCCAGAGCGGCAAGAATGCCCAGTGTGTAAAGCTGGGATCAGCAGAGAAAAGGTTGTCCCTCTTTATGGTCGAGGGAGCCAGAAGCCCCAGGACCCCAGGTGAGAGAGAGGGGCTGGTGCTGAGGGAAGATGGAAGGCTTCTGCCCTGGCAGTGGGGTGTAGAAGGGGAGAGAACACTTCTTCTTGCTAGTCCCTCTCCTATTCCTCAGATTGAAAACTCCACCCCGCCCCCAGGGCCAGCGACCAGCTCCGGAGAGCAGAGGGGTGAGTCTTGTCTGATTGTGTTCTTTCCTTGCAAAGACCTGCCCTGTTCCCCTCTGACTTTCTCCACCTTCCTAGGGATTCCAGTCATTTGGTGATACCGGGGGCTTTCACTTCTCATTTGGTGTTGGTGCTTTTCCCTTTGGCTTTTTCACCACCGTCTTCAACACCCATGACCCATTGCGTCGGGGTACAGGTAAGAGCCTTCCCTCAGCTCCTAGCAGGGAGCCCTCTGAACCCCCTCAGTCCCCTTCCCAACGTAGGAGTGGATGCTTCTTCCACAGCTTTCCTCTCTCCTACAGGTGTGGATCTGGGACAGGGTCACTCGGCCTCCAGCTGGCAGGACTCCCTGTTCCTGTTTCTCGCCATCTTCTTCTTTTTCTGGCTGCTCAGTATTTGAGTTTTGTCTCCTTCCTACCCACCTCCGGCCAGAGGAGAATCAGTATTGGGGGTCCTTGCTGACCCTTCCTGACTCCTGGCCCCTCCTCCCCAACCACTCCATTTGTACTGGCTGAGGCCAACCCTGGCCACTTTCTAGGAGGGTGCGGGGAGGAGGAGTGACAGAATATGGAAGAACCTTCTGCTCTGAACTCACTGAGTAGCATCATAACTCCCAGCTCTGGGATGGGAGGACAGACAGAAGAGAATGTCTGTTTCTTCTCTCTACTGATCCTTTGCTTCCCCCCACATTTCTTGATTGGGTGTGGAAAGATGGGCAAGTCTCCCTCTGATTCTCCCCTACTTTCCCCTTGTTGATTTAACTTAATTTTTCTCTCCCCAGTGTCTATTATGGGTTCTGACTTAAGTGCTTCCTTCCCCTCACTACCTCCTTTATTATAAATTGAATAAACAAGGTGAGATGTATTGATGGAAGCTCTGCCCACCTTTGTCCTTACCTCCTTCCTTCCAGAACAGGAGCAGCTTCTCTCTAACTTGAGTAAATATCTGCGTGGTGTGGGGAAGCATGAGGGTGAGCCTCTCTCCTTCACGGCTTTCAAGGGTTCAGGGGTGAGGGCATCTTACACATACACATACACACACACACACATGAGCAAACAGGGCAAGGTGTTTACTTCTCACTGTTGGGAGGCTCTGGTTGTGGAAGCACATTTGGTGAGGTGGGTACAGTTACACAGGAAAGAACTAGCGTGGGGCCAGAACAGAGCAGGGGTGGGGGGAAAGAAAATGGAGGTGATGGATGGAGTCTGGCTGTGCATCCCTCAAGGCCCTGCTGCACTGCCCTCAGCTGCCTCAGGCTCCTCTGACTGATTCAGCTCTTCGCGCTCCTCCTCCTCCTCCTCCTGGTTTTCTGGGGCCTTCCTGAGGAGGAAGATGGGGGAGAATACTGCACATGGTTCCCAGCACTCCATCACTGCTCCCCCTTACCTCCCTTCTTGCTGCCTGGAAGTCTCAAGTCTGAGGTCTCTGGCTTTCTCCACTTACCTCTCCTCTCCTTGGCGTCGCTGTCTTTGCCATATGATGGCCCCAATGAGCAGGGCAGCTATCCCCAGGCCTCCCAGGATCCCCAGGGCTAGGGCTACAGTTCCCAGCCTCTGCCCTTCCAAAGAACCTGTAGAGAGATGCAGAGAAGTGAGGGCCTGGCCCCTCCCACTCACCATTCCTTTCTTGTCAACCATCCCCCCGACCATCCCCCAGTCACTTTGGCCTTTGGGAAAGCCTCACCTGCAGTTGGCCCCTCCTCTGTTTCTGAAAGACAAAGTCAGAGCAAGTTAGAAGGGAAGGTCTCAATGTGAGAGAAAGTAGGCTATTTAGTGGGAGCCCCAGTGGAGTCTTTCCCTTTCTTCAGTTCAGAGGAGAGAGGGGACAGGCTGTCTTGGTGTGGCTTGGGTGGGGCAGAGGAGGCCTGGGTATGGGTACATGGAGGGGACAGTGCCAGGATGGAGTAGGGAATTCGAGTCTGCACCATCCTTTAGCCCAGCCCCAGGGTTCCTGGGATTTGGAGAGAGGTCTCCTCACCGATGATGTGGACACTGACAGCACGGCTTTCCTGGGGCCCATGGCTGGGATGGGTGGCTACACAGCTGTAGGTTCCCTGGTCCTGAGGTCTTACCTCAGAGAGGAGCAACACAGGGTTGGGGGTAAGGGGCAGGGGCACGCCCTGTGGGGAGAAGGGGGATAGGAGACTATTACAAAGTGTAATACGTTTCCACACGTCCCATACTCCTATCTTTGTCTCCATATCTTCTGATATTCTGTCGTCTTCCCCAGGTCCTTGCCTGCCTCTCTATGAGCTTCCTGTCCTCCTAGTTGCCAGTGATGTGTCTGTCTACTTCCCAGCCCCCTCTCCAGGTTACTCACGTCCTTGATCCAGTGGATTTGAAGGGAGGACTGGGCAGGGGTTTCACAGGTCAGGGTCACGGTACCACCAGGAGCTACTGTTCCACCTTCTGGCTCTACCACCAATTGGACCTCCAGAGGCACAGGCTCTGGGGGTGGGGGCATGAGGTTGAGAGTTATACCTATGTGTGGTCCCTGTGGCCATGGGCTTCACTCTTCCCTCCTTGAGGGCCAAACTTTCAGGCCCTCCCCACCTCCACTCACCCCAGACGCTGAGCTGGATGGGGGCCGTGTGTAGGGCTCGGCGCCGGGGAAGGCCAGGACTGAAGCTACAGGAGAAAGTGGGATGGAGAGCTCCTCCCCGGGCTGGGGTCACCATCAGTTCTGACTGGAGTGTGAAAAGCCCTGTTTCAGGGTGTCTCCTGGTCTCTTCCTGCACGGACACTCCTATGGCGGGGAGGAGAAGGGAGGACAAGGCAAGACCTCCCAGGGTGGATATGGGAGGGGTCAGAAAGAA